TTAATGCAATTTCACGTCGCTTTTTATCGCCGCCTAAGTAGCCACTAAACGGCAGCTCTTTAATCTCAACGACTTGGCGCGTATACCCCGAAAAACCGAACAAAAAATCAAGTACTTGGTTGGCTGCACAGAGAGAAATTCGGGCCTTGTCGGATTAGTATTCGTATATGAAATATTTAAGATTTTGATTGGTAATTATGATCAACTAGATTGATATACAATCTATTGTATACCCTAATCAAGGTGCAAAATACTGGCCAATATATCATATGCACAGAAAAAAATGTCAGAATCAACTGGATATTCACAAGTAAATTAACACATATCATTTATATCATTTTTTCTCTCTATTCGAAAATAAATAAATTTAGAAATTTCACATCATTAAAATTATTATAATTTCTTATATATCTTTTTAATATCAGTGTATCCCCTTGGTATCGGGGAGTTTTTTCTCTCTCTGTGGTTAAAGAAATGAAAATGAACTTTCTTTGGGGTTTGGGGCCTGGGCTTCCAGCCTCGCCCACCTTGTTAAGCGCTAAGGACTCGCTGGGAAACTGAAACTGAAACTGGTATAGGGCCCTCTTAACGAGGCGCACACTTGCCGAAGATCTTGGGGATTGGGATTTATTTTTAGTTAACGCTAAATTGAACCGTGGCCAATGGCTTCTTCGTTCGCTCGCTCGTTCGGCTGGTAATTGCGGATTAAATGCATCGCGGGGCCTCATCATAAGATCGCGTACGCTGGGGGAATCTGATTAAGAATATTTCAATTAGCTCGGTCATAATGCCGGGTGCCACCTTCATATCCATCACCAGTTGCTCCAGAGTTATTCCTGCTCTTTCAGCAATTGATTGCTGCAAACTTTCCCATCATCCAAGTGGAAAGAAAGTTTTGGGGCAGTACATTGTTGTAATATCGTTTGGAGCAGGAGCAGATCATCGATTTCGGTTTACGGTTTTTTGGTTTTTGCATTTTTGATTGATTCGATAGCGGAGGGAGCCTCTTTAGGATGCTTTTTGGCATGCTAATTAAGTCACTTGACCAAAGGGGATGGGACAGGCCATCGAGATGCCCAGTTGCGGATTGCACTTAACGAGGACCGATTAAGTGGGCGTGTGGCTGCCCATCAGATGGGGCTTTGGATTCAGCTGGATAAACGCTTTCAATTGATTAACTTTCCATTTAATCTACATCCTGTTGTCCTTCGGACGGCTACTGTTGATGATGATTGCCATTGCCCCGATGCTGCATAGTTGTTTTATATATCTCTGTTTTGTCTCTACTGATGAGACAAAATTATGCCATAAATGCCAAGGTAAAGTCGGTCGAAATTTTGCTCAACTAAATCGTTGCTTGGATGCACTTTCAGTGCGCTTCGAGGCAGCTTATCTCGTAATATCCTTACACGGAGGAAAAGATGAATAGCAAATTCTGATCTCTACAAACAAAAGTTCATAAATTGTGATTATATAATATTTAGAAATACATTTTGTTAATAATAGAAGAACCAGTGAGTAAGTTATACTATCAATAAAACACGGATGATACATAATCTTCAGACTTACTATATTTAAGTTTTATGGAAAGGACTGTACTTCTTTTAGATCTATTCCAGATTTTCAAGGAAAGATAGTATAGGGCTACTGAATTCCTATCCACTTTCATTTTCTTCCTGTGCAGCTATGCCCCCCTGCTCTATATCATAATCCAGCGGAGGCAATCAAGCCATCAAAATATCGCTGCAACCGAAAACACTTTCATTAAACTAAATTTTTATTGTGCCACCACACCAGAGAGACCGAACTTAAAACTGGGAGCAGGCGATCCCAGGGATCGGCATCATTTTCATTTATGGCAATCTCTCGGCCGATTCAAAAAAGCTGACTATAAAACTTTGACCCAGTTTCCTCGCTGGTTGTTATCATATACGTATGTATACAATACTCGCAGATATTCGCTCAACTTTTGGCAGTTGCAGTTGGCTTTCAAGCAAAATTGCTACAAATTACACAGTTTTCGGGGCGCAAAAGTGTGCCGCATGCGTGACAGGGCAGCGCGGCAAGTTTTCCCCCTTTTTTTTTTGTAATTAAGCTCTGGCCGATGCAGCAGATTAAAGTAAATAATATCTGATGGTAGTGCCATGTGTCCGCTGCTTTACAATAACTCATAAACTGTAATCACTTAGGTCAGCAGGCCGGGCAGCAGGCCGCGAAACTAGTTATCCTTATCGATGTGCTCCACTACCCAGGTCCCCAGATGATTCCCCATATACGTACCCCCCTCACGTAACTCCACGATTTCGAATCGCATCGAAACGAATCGCACTGAGAGAAAATACACTATGGGTATATTCTTATATGACTTGTACATATCTCCTGAAATAAAACTATTTGATCTTAAAGTGAAATGGGTTTTCTGCATTTTGGATTTAAGATATTAACTGAACATATACTCCTACAAAAAGGGAACGATTTCAAATTTTTTTATTTTTAATGCGTGTGTTTCAGAGATCGTGTTACTGACTGGTATGGTATTTAAACCATTCAATATATGACCATTTTCATTTTTTCTCGTTTTTTTTTCACTGTATAAGAAGCGAAACGAAGATGCTGGCGAATCGGCACCAAAAAATGCACTTTATCGCCGTTATCCCCTTGATTTATCTCTCACTTTACAAGGGCCACACTTTTCCCGGTCATAATAAACAATTTCATAATTGCAATTGGGGATTAAAACAATCGATATCTCAGGTGGGGCTTTCTATTCTCCCTTCGAAATCAATCAGTAGCTTATCTAAATTGGAATTGATAGATTCTGAGTGGATTTTAAGGCACACTTTCGCTGGCTCGCGTAATTAAAAAGTGGAACAACTGCATTTCTTGGAAACCACATGAGGCTTAAAAATTAATAATAAATTCCTGTTAAATAATAAAGCCATATCTCAACGTGTTCCCGCCGTCAAGATTAAATTCAGAATGTTTTCAAGTTGATTAAGCACCATTCTATTTATTTAATATTATATTATATAAACGATTTTTGGATAAACATTCAGTCTCTTTGTAAAATAGTTGCAAATCTTATTTGCATTTTATTTACATGCATACATACCTTCATTTCATTTGCATTTTTGGTTCCGAAATCAAACACACACGGGGAAAAAGCACTAAATGCAGATACCCGCAACGAAAAATGTTAGGTAGCTTCCAAAAAACATCCGAAATAAACTCACATTACTTATTTTTTCTAGTTCACTTTATATTAATTGGCTTCCGATCCCCGGTAATGTTACACAGTTAATAAGTTAACTAAAGATAAAATTTGTTCAATTACTTTTTATACATTTATACTTAATACTATTATATATTATATATTATAATATTATACGTATACTTATATATTATACTTCTGAAAATTAAAAAATTAATTTTAAAATTGAAGGTAATTACTTTAAATTATAAAACCATTCAATCATTAACAACATTTACACTCCGAGTGATGTACTAACATTTTTTAATGGACTTTTAAACAATTTTGCAGATGTGCGAAGCAACAAAGCCGTTATCAAAGATTTTTTCTTCGATCCTCTCCTTTTTTTTGCCGTCTTATCGATATACGATATGCGAACCCTGTTTGCTGTTTAAATGCGTATTGATTATCATTAGTTAAGTTGTTAACTGATTCCGTTTAGAGATTTGTCAGCCGAACAACTTGGCCCAGGATTCCGATTCGGCTGGTGAAATATTTTAATGTGATTTATCTGCCCGACTAACAACAGCGAAAGAACAAGGATCGTACGATCGATCGAGCCATAAATCAGGCGGAGCTTTTGCGGCTAATGAGACAGATTGCCCAGTCTTGGGGCCCCGGATTCTCCGCTCTTCACCACCATTCTTCTGGCCCGTTCTTCTGGGGGTCAAATGCCGGTGGTCTGGTCCTGCGGCAAAGAAACCGATCCGATCCCCACACGCAATTGCAACAAATGATATTTTATTGGTATTTGATGAGCATCGGCCGTTGATGCAATTGTCGGGTCAATAAATTTTAAGCTCGATATCGCTCATTAGAGAACGATCCTGGGGTATACACTTGTAGAAAATATTTAAGGCATACAAATTCCACCTTTTTTCTTTCTTTGCTTATAACATATAGGAAATATAAAAAAACAAATACTGTAATACTGTACAATACTGTAAAACCGCTTAAATATTTTTTGATCTATCAGAATATCATTACTAAACTGATTCAAGAGCAAAGTAACATTAGTTTTAACAGTTCATAATTATTTACTCAATGAGTATAATAAGAATCCTTAACTATTGATAATATTATATAACATAACATCTTGTTTTCCCAGTGCATCAGGTCTTGATCTGGATGGGAATCGACCACCGGGTGCGTTTCTTGTGGGAGAAGCGAGTCCTAATCCCCGGTTAAAGCACAAAAAATAACATCACATAAATAATGCGCTCATTGAGTTCCACTTCACTTCACTTCAGTTTGAGTTTGAGTTCCAATTTCGGATCGAGTTGTTTTTACGGCCCCTCGGCATCTTCTTTTTTTCACAATAAATCACGCGACAGGCCAATTAGGTCCGCACAATTTGCGATCACTGATCTCAGCGAGGAGTTAAAAAAAACATTGCTTCGAGAAGACCCAAAGAATCATTGGCCGAAACTCTTACCCCTTCCCACTACTCCAATTGCAACTCAATTAGGTATGTTATGGATCGCGGTTTGACGTAATCCCTTGCCTATAGATAATGGTAACGAAATAACCATGATATCATGATATCTACATGACTTATGAGGTTGGTCAAGGTACATAGATATGATATGTAAGTTAAGTATGTACTGTTTGTGAACTTAATTATGGACCTTAACATTTATCTATAATTCTTGATAAATGCGTCTTATAAGATATTGTTGATAAATACAAGCAACATTTTTTTGAATATCGATTTATTTTAATTTTCTGTGTACAATGCTTAGTTCTTAGGTCTAGGGAAGAAAAACCCCCCAAAAAAAAAAGGTAAACTATATTAAAAATCTCACTTATTTCGTTTTAATTTTAGAATAATATTTTTGGGGATTGCTTTGATGACTAAGAAACATATTATTGCCATAGTTTCCACATTCCACAAGCCAGCACTAAAGTGAAGACCTGCCACAGAGCCGTTTGCCTTAGGGAAATCGCAGAGTTTACTGGAGCAAAGCCCAGTCTTTGATTGCCCACATCGAATTCGGTGTAAAAGCGACCCAAAAACACATCGCCCATAATCCAAAAGTCCTGGGATGTAATGGATTGAATGGCCAGCGAGCACAAATAGTTCTCCTGGATGATATAGTACTTGGCTGCGATCCTAAAGTCCACGCCATTAATGGTGATTACCAGATCCGGATATGAATCCAAACTAGTGCACTCGAATGTTCCCTCGGAATCGGCACCGAATAATGCAGCAATCATAGCATATTCCGCTATGGGAGCTATAATCAAGGAAGTTCCAGTATCCGCAATTGCCGCATCGTAGGTACTAATGAGGGTACTGCCGATTTTGATGGAATCCGTTTGGAATTTCCAATAGGCCGCCTGGATGACATCCACATAGGTTAGGCCACCGCTATAAAGCGAGGGATCCGAACCGCCCAATATGAGTTCACCTCCGTAGTTAACAACACTGCCATTATCTCGCAGGAAAAATGAAAACACAGGGTTCTGAATTAGGCCCTGGCTTACCATATTCTGGAACGTGGGCGTAACACCATCCACAGCCAGAATGGGAAAACCCATGCCAAGTATTCCATCGAAGTAGGCATCCACAAAGTTGGTTCCCTGCTCGGTGGTTACCTCACCAAATGTTTGATTTTTTACAGTCAGGCCGGCGAAGCTCACATAATCCACGGATAGATAACCAGAAACACTGCCAGTTCCATAGGTTATGGAAAAGGCCGTTCCATTGGCCACATAGGTACTGGACAGACTTTCGTAGAAGACTTGATGATCCTCACACGCGGTGCTCGTACATGAACTTCCCGGAACCCAAAGATTTGACGAGCCGGTATCGAATTGTACCAGGAAGTACTGAGCGGGGGTTCCAATACTAATATTTCCGTAATACTGGTAATTATCAAAGTTGGATAGTTGCTCCACGGGGTGACCATTGGCGGTGTACTGGCGATTGTATTTCTGCTGAATAAAATCCCTTTCGGCGACAATATTTTTGTGACTACGTGTGAATTTCGGTGATCTATGGACGGGTATACGATGAAGGGTGGAACTGACCAGGCCCACCAAAACCAGGATCCCCGCCAAAAAGGCCAACTTTTTCATTTGGGAACCCGCCATGTTCACAATATCGAATGGCAAACACGACTAACTGGGCTTTCACTATCTGGTGGCGTTCTTATAAAGAAGGTTCCCAAAAAAGAAGGGGGGGAGCTTACCGATAACTATATTAGTGTCGCGTGTGTGATTCCCGCGATAGTACCACAATCAATCAAAGTATTTTAGCAATCTCAGCTTGATAAGCAAAGGTTTGTATACCCGCGATTTTAGGAATTTTAGAAATGTCTGCATTTTTTCCCTTAAATATCGATTTCTTATCTGAGTTATTTTACTTAATTTTATTATAATGATTATAAGACTGTAAGGAACAAAAGCTTTCCCTTTTAATACTATCGCCTAGTGATATATTTCACCAGTTTGCCTACTCACTGCGATAACTGGACTTAAGTTTCATATCTTGTTGTTATCAAATTATGATTCAATGCGCGTTGATCACTAAAAAAGACACCTCATGCTAATCCTTTAATGAAAATTCGAAGAAATGACGATACAAACTTTGTGTTCCTTGGATACTCAGTGTGTGTTTTTAGACCCCCGCTATCAAGAATTTATGACAAATTTACATACGTCATATATTGAATGTGTGTTCAATAAATCATTCAAAATTTCATTCAATTTGAAAGAAAACTGAGTGAGTGAACTTGGGATTATTTTGTGGTGCTTTTTACCAGTGATTTATTTACGGGTTTGGGTAGTTATTTGATGTGCTTATTATACTCGTATGTTAATTAAGATAGGTATCAAACAAGTAACAATTTTCCATGTTCAAATGGAAATCACTTCCTGTCCGGCAAATTCGCTATGGAACCTGGCTGGATAAATGTTAATTAGCCTGGCTGCCCATTGCTAATGGAGATGTCAGGTTCTGCTTGAAGGTGTGGGAATATTTATGGATTGAAAGTAATGTCTCTAAAAACTGGACCCACCAAGACGTACCAGGCGATGAATGAAGAAAGCCAGGCGGAAAACAAAGAGTTATTGTTTTTAATGTATGCATAGAGAGTGGAGGCAGAGGACAAAGGTCACAGGACACAGCAGAGGTCCTCGGCGGGTAGTATATATGTACGAGTATAGTGTCTGTATCCTTGGGTGTCAGCCACTTGATTAGCCATGACCTAATGTTGCACTACACACAATGGGCCATGATGAGCCCTTTTGTCGCCCGTGCGGCAGTGTCAACTTGGATTAGTTGCGCTACCAACCGATCCTATACAGTTTCTATATGTATATATAAACAGTGGAGGTAGAAAAAATAGCACTGCCAATTTGAGTTGATGGAAAATCATATTACCTGAGATTATTATCAAAAACTCAACCTAAAATAAGGAGAGTTATAAGAAATAAAACAATATATTTTCCAAATTTAAATTGACCATAGAATATATTTTTAATAATATAAATATTTAAATAACTGTTGAATATTTTTCCAAAATTTAGTGTAGCTTTACTTGCATTTAATAAAGCTGTATAAAATATAGAAAATCACTATTATTACGGCCGGAGCTGTGTGTATACCGACCGATTCCTTGCGTGGGCGCTCAAGTCAAACAAATTGAAAATTTATCACCCGAAGCGAAAGGCACCACACACCGTACCCAAAAAAGTAAAAGAAGAAAAACCGATGATGAGTTTGTGTGCCAAAGCAAATGCATTTTTTACACTATGCTACTTGCAACTTGGTGGCGATCACAAATTCACTGAACCATTCGCAAATTGATTTCGCTTTGCCCAAATGTGTCAACTGAACAATGTCTTTTCTCTGAATAATTCTTTGATTTTTTCGGGTCTATCGAATTTCAAAGGAGTTTCACACGCAAATGCCGACTGGAGAAGCTCGTGGAAGTCATTGGCCCGCTGTGAACTGGGGTTACACTGGAAAAAATTGAGCTTTCCAAGTAGGAAAATACTTTTCTAGATTTTTTGAATAAACTAAGTGAAATGTATTAAAAGAATTTATGGAATTACCTTCTATATATATAATATTGAACCCACTTATTATATTATTATAGAATTAGACCATATACCATCTTAATAATATAAGTTTATTGGCTTTTTAATTGTAGAACATAAGTTCCCAGACATTTCGCTTAGTGAAATATCTTTGGAGTGGGTGCAGACTTTCGGTTCTGTGGCTGGGAGTTGGAGATATATATCTTGGGCATGCTATATGGCCCTCGGACCTCGGGGCGCTGCGTTTTAACTTCAATTTCATTTCGCCTGATCGATTTTTGCACGCAAAGTGTGAGGGAGTCCCCCGATTCCCGATTCCCGATTCTTCGATTCCTGATTCCCCCGATTCCCCATTCCCATTCCCCAAACCCGATCCCCTGTTAACCCCCGAGTGCCTCTGTACTTAGGCATTGAATTTATTGTGCAGTCCGATCAATATTTTATTGTTTTCGCTAAAACTTCTGCACCTCCTTGGAGTTTTCGAGGTGGTTCTGTTCCCGTGGTGCGTTATCAGTTTTGGGATTCTGACTTCGAGGAGATCGAAGGTGCAGCTTCAAAGCGCCGTCGGCAAGATGGGGTTAGGGGGGGTTTTAGTGGGGGGGGTGTGGAGCCCATATCGGTTTCAGTTTCGGCCACATGCAAAACAATAATCGATGCCGGGCAATTGGGAGGCTCGCCGCAGTCATTCCATTTAAAAACGTGTTAAAGAGTGTTTCACAGGGGCTCCTAGGGATGGGGAGGTGGTCGAGCGGGGACCAAGGGGCTCTCGGGGGTTAAGATCACGCCCACAACTGCACCGCCCTGGCTTATTTGATTTTGGATGCGTTCATTCCGCCGCCCGCGGCTGCACTTCATCCTCCACGTGAATTTATGATGTGATTTCGATCATTTGACATAATCTATTTAGCGTCTGCTCTCGAGCTCCTCTGAGTTCTGAATTCTGCATTCTGAATCCTCGAATCTCGCGTTCGGAGTCGGTATCCTCCTCCTTCAATCCTCTCCTGCATTGGGGGCATAATTTGTAATGAGATAATTTTATTTGCTTTGCCCAATGACTTGTGTTTGGATTCTGGCTGGTTGGTTAGGTGATTCTGGGTATGCTTTGGGAGGCGGAGATGGTTCCGAAATGATATTGCAGTTGCATGCCCTGTTGTGGCTTATTTATTAGCGTTTTTTGATGAAACTAAAGAGTTGGGTTACAGCATTATTTTAAAAAAATATTAAAAGTAAGAAAAAGAAAACTCAAAGTCCACAACTTTCTCGGAGCATCCACCCCTTGGTGATCACTTCCTTGTGAGTCATCGCAACAATTAGTAGACTCCCTAACCATATCTAGAGAAATTTGTTTTCTCTGATAAGGGACACATGCAGGCTAAAAAAAAAAAGGAGACCCGCAGGATAATTTCCGAACCCCTTAACCAAGACATAACTTTCGCTCAAGTGATGCTATCTGGTTTTACTTTAATGTTACTTAGCTACCAAAGAAGCTACTGATCCAGGGTTTTTCTTTCCCAAAGGATGCTGATGTTCGTTGATCCACTAGCTAACTAACACGCAATCTTTTACGAGCATAACTAATGTCCTCGGGATTTTACGACTTTCACCTACCGCAGCAGTTGACAACTCTTAACCCTTGAGGACCACAGAGTTGGGGGGTTAAGGAATAGCGGCTACTAATTGTTACAGAAGCCACGTAAAACGAAAAAAAGGGACACGCGCCCAGCTCGAGCGATCTGTATCGCTGGCGAGGACTACTAATTAAGGGCCAAGGATTAGGGACCCACCACACACAGATTCCTCCACCAAAGAAAGTGGTGTAATTAAAGTCTTCTCTTCATTTTTCCATACACTTGCTACACAGAAAGGAAATTTCCTATGATATGGTTAACAACTCTGGAACTTAACATATTCTTTTGAACATCATATGATAGTAAATCTGAATAGTATAGAGGAAAATATCAGCTTGTATTACTTGCACATTATAAGTTACTATCTTTTAGTGACTTACAAATATCAAATGGATTTCAAGCTGTTTTCCTTTCTGTGTACATAACATTGTATCAGTTTTTGGCAACTGACCCACATTGTAAGTCGTTCCCGAAAATCCAGGCATCCAGGGACTCGAACTCGGTTAATTCCAGTGCTGATAGTTACTAATTCTTTGTTATTAGTGCGCGCGCGGTTCTGTAACTGTTATTTTTTTGGGGCTGGCTCACCAGATCGGTGAGGGATTATGCTCCACAGCTCCATCGATGGCAATCAAGAGGTTTTGGAGTCCAATATCGGAGACAGAGACTCTCGGCAAGAACCGCGCGTTGATCGATAGCCATCACTGGGCTCAGTTGATGGTCGCGATCTCGATGGCCAACTTGTTTTTCAATCTGTTTTATACCCTCTGATGGGGTATACCAAATAGGCTCTTAAAAAAAGGTGTCTTTAAATATATAAAAAAAATATATAAGACACTCTTTGTTTCCAATTTTAGAACAAGGTTTATGCTATTTAATTCTAAGAAAAATTCCATAACTTATTCAAATGGAAACATTTTGAAATATAGAAAAGTCTTGGTATATTTTATAACTTTATAAATGTATAACGTTTGATTAAGCTTGGAAAACGGTTAAAATAACATTGAGATCCCTAAGAACCTCAACTTCTGTGTTATTTTGTATTAATTTAAGGGTATTTAGAATTTCGATCCTTCGTTACTTGCTCTTATTTTTACATTTTGGTTTTTCTTTTTATTTTTTTCACTTCGTTTTCGTTGTGGTTCGTTTTCTTTTTGCATAAAACGCGCCTCATTTGCTTTACATGCCAGCGAATTGAGTTGATTTTTGAGGCGAGCGTTCGGAGCACTTCACTTGGAAGATGATGGCTGCTCCCGTGGATGTCGGACCACCCAAGCAGTCGATATTTGCCACCAAGGTTGCTCGAGATCTCTCCTTTAAAAGCCCCCATGTTTTCGCCACTGGCGCTGGCTGTCCCTCCATTTAGCATTCGTTTTGGGGCTGCAAATTAGAAAAATGTTGCACGAAAATCAATAAAAGCTAATGGATGACCAAATTGAAAAGC